CAGAGCTGTCTGACAGTTATCAGCTGCCTTCAGAGTCAGACATCAGTGAGGCAGAAGAACAGCTGGAGCCTGTTCCCAGTGTGCCCTTGCGCAGAGTTGCCAGATGAAGGGAATACCTAAAGAACAGGGGTCGACTTGGGAGTAAGGCCACAGGTGGACGCTGAATGGTCCCTCCCAGAGGAAATAAAAGAGGAGCGAAAGGGGAGTGGAGTTTGCAGGAGACAATTAGTTCACTTAATTGGTTGTGATTCTCTGAGACTCCTTGCCAAGTTTTGCAGGTATCAGCCTGTCAGCTCTCCAAGCCTGATAAGGTCTGTGACTGTAAATTCTCCCTTGAAAGACTTTGCTGGATGTGAATGAGCAGAATTTACAGTAAATTAGTAAAAGTGGTTTTTGCCGGGACAAGGAGTTTGTTTCATGCTCTTGGGAAGCCACATTCAGAACAGGTATTGGGTATCCCCTAAACTGAATGAGACCAGGCTACCTGCCTCTCCTTGAGGCTATCTGCTCATCTTACTAGGTCAGATAGGGTGGGTGCATGCACTCCAGATCCCTTCCTTTAAATGTTATTATATAGTGAGACCCTTCTCTGTAATTATCTCTGCAGTTGTATTCCATATTTTCCCTGGACTTCTGGTAGACTCATCCTCCTTGCCTTCTGAAAGATCTTGAGGAGCCGTCTCTTCTTGCAAGCATCAGGATAGAAAAAGGCAAAAGCCCATCAATATGGTGCTTAGATGTATGGGAGAATGCTTCCCCAAGGTGCAATAATTTTACTTTATAATTTTGGGGGTTACTGATGTCTTTACTGTTTCGTTAAGAATTACGGTTAAGAACCGTGGTAGTGCATTGGTTAGAATGCAGCATTGCAGGCTACTTCTGCTGACTGCCAACAATTTGGCAGTTCAAGTCACACTGGCAAAAGGTTGACTCAGCCTTCCATCCTTCCTGGGTTGGTAAAATGAGGAGCCAGATTGTTGGGGGCAATATGCTGACTCTGTAAACTGCTCAGAGAGAGCTATAAAGCACTGTGAAGCAGTATATGTCTAAGTGCTATTGCTATTGTACACAGCCTGGAATTGTCACAATATAAGCAGATATAGCAATAGCACTTAGAGAGTTATATACCGCTTCACAATACTTTATAGCCCTCTCTAAGTGGTTTACAGGGTCAGCATCTTGCCCGCAACAATCTGGGTCTTCATTTTACTGACCTCAGGAGGATGGAACTGAGTCAACCTTGAGCCGGTGAGATATATAGTCTTTTGAAATAAATAAAGAGCAAAAAAAATGAATAAATAACTAAGGTCTCTACACTAGATTGAGGAGTTGGGAAAAAAACACTTCAGAGGAAGGAAATGGCATTATTGTCATAAAATTACCAAAGATGCCCAGGTTGTCACCAAGAATTCAGCTCAACTCAAGAAAGACTATTCCTATGTACAAAACAAGCAAACAGAAATAAACAGAAGAGCAGGACAATGATGATTTTAATAGATGGGAATAAATGAAAAACAATCTAATGATTATTGGATATCTTGGTGATGTCTACATGTCTTGCCGATGCCTAGCAGGGCAGAATTTAAACAGGTCTCCAAGGATGAACAAGTGCTTGAAAGAGAGAGAGAGAGATCTTGCATCACTTACTCTGACAAAACTGGCTGGAAACCATGCTTCCTTCTCTTCATTCCTTCCCCACCACCAATCTTTGTTGGAAGCTTCAAGGACTTGGATGACTTCTCCAGCTTTGAAGGCTAATTCTTGATCATCCATGGTCACGTGATCCCAGAGAGCCTCTGCATAGACCGGATTTCCATCACTTATCAGCTGCAATATAAAAACATTTTGTTTAGAGACAAAGATCTTGCTATAGTCAAAGGGTAAGGATCAGTTGTCACTGCAGTGGGCAAAAAGGTGGTAGTTTTTATGTGTTTTCCGTTCTCAGTGTCTGGAAATCCCAAAGCTAGAAATTTACCTCACTGACAGCTAGCTGCTCGCCTCCAGGCTGCAAGTACCTGGGGTTGGCATGGCAGAGTTCTTCATAGCTGTAATCTTCTTCGCTGCCATTATCATCGACTAAAGCTGGAGATTCAGCACTACCATCTGCAGCACCTGGCGGTAAAAGGAAATTCTGAGAAATTAAAAGGTAAAAGTCCCCCCCGCCGCATATGCATGCTAGTCGTTCCCGACTCTAGGGGGTGGTGGTCATCTCCGTTTCAAAGCCGAAGAGCCAGTGCTGTCCAAAGACATATCCGTGATCATGTGGCCGGCATGGCTAAATGCCGAAGGCGCACAGAACGTCGTTACAATCCCATCAAAGGTGGTTCCTATTTTTCTACTTGCATTTTTACATGCTAGGTTGGCAGAAGCTGGGACAGATAATGGGAGCTCATTCCATTATGCGGCACTAGGGATTCAAACTGCCGATCTTTCTGATTGACAAGCTCAGCGCTTTAGCTACTGAGCCACCATGTCCCTTATTAGGTATTGCCAAACCGACTGTCCATTGCATTACAGGTAGTTCTCGACTTACGATTGCCGTTGAGCCCAGATTTTATGTTGTCAAGTGAGAAATTTGTCAAGTGAGTTTCACCCCATTTTACAACCTTTCCTGCCACAGTTGTTAAGGGAATCACTGCAGTTGTTAAATTAGGAACATGGTTGTTAAGTGAACCTGGTTCCTGACTTTGCTTGTCAGAAGGTCGCAAAAGGGGATTGCATGAGCCTGGGACACCGCGACTGTCGTTAATATGAGTCAGTTGCCAAGGGTCCGAATGTAAATAACATGACCATGGGGATGATAAGACGGCAATAAGTGTGGAAAATGGCTCCAAGTTACTTTTTTCAGGGCTGTTGTAACTTTGGTCATTAAATGAACTGTTGTAAGATGAAGACTACTAATGTTTGTTTTACAAAATGCTTTCTTAAAATGGCACCAGATTCTGATTTTTTTATTTCTCATAATCACCTGCATGAACAGTAAAACTTTCCAAGTCTACTAGAACAGAAAAAAGCTACTAAAAACATATTCCAGGTGAGGAAAAGAGTCAAATGCATACGGATAGTCCTCAACTTACCACTGTTCATTTAGCCACTGTTCAAAGTTACAATGGCACTCAAAAAGTAGTTTTACAACTGGTACCTGTTTACAACCATCGTTTATAACTATCATGTCATTCCCACCGCCATATGATCAAAGTTCAGATGCTTGGAAACCGGGATGAAATCAGACAATGCACCATTTCTCTGAAAGGATATAGGGTTTCCTGTTTGAGCAGAGGGTTGGACTGGAAGACCTCTAAGGTCCCTTCCAACTCTTATTCTGTTAATTAGGTACTCATTTTTTGAACATTTCCCCCCACTTAATTAATTAAGCATATCCTCCTTCCCAAATTAATGCTTTGTGTTATTATATAGAAGAATGTTGTTACGGGATAGGTTTCCAAGATTCTATCAGCACAGTTGATTAGATATTTTCTCATAATATATAGAGTGCCCCCCTTTATTTTTTCCTGTCATCCATCCATCCATCCATCCATCCATCCATCCATCCATCCATCTATCTATCTAAATGTGTGTGCGTGTGTGTGTGTNGTGTGTGTGTGTGTGTGTGTGTGTGTGTGTGTGTGTGTGTGTGTGTCTGTGTGTTCCAGCAAAACTCTGGAACGCCTTGAGCAATTTCAACCAAACTCGGTACACAGATGACTTACTCTCTGGAAAAAAATACTGTGGGGGGTAAAACCCCTCGGGGTGTGTTATGTTAAGATACAGCCTGTTGTGCCTTAAAATGGCTTCTACTGTACTGCCTTAAAATGGCTTCTACTGTACTGCCTTAAAATGGCTTCTACTGTGCTGCCTTAAAATGGCTTCTACTGTAGAGCGCAATGGAGTTGCCATGGTAATGGCTTCATAGTACTCCACAAGGGGGGTTCCCTCTGGTAAAGGAGGAAATCCAACATTAGAAATTACGGTTCCGGGGGCATAGGGAAAACATTTTTAACTAATTTAATTGTCGCCGAAATCAGGGCTCAGGGAGAAGTTGCTCTTGCCATCGCTCCTTCAGGAATTGCAGCGATGTTAATGGAAGGAGGGAGGACAGCCCATTCCGCACATACGTTGCCACTTCACATTGCCCTTCCTGTCTAATACAGGATTGGGATAAATAAATACCTGGGCAGTGCCAGGTTATCAGCTAGTTATTTTATAAATAACACAAGGTGGCGATTATATCTAATATTCCTTCTTCCTCCTATTTTCTCCACACCAACCACCCTGTGAAATGAGTTGGGCTAAGAGTGTGTGTCTGGGTCAAAGCCACCCAGCTGGCTTTCATATCTAAAGTGGGACTAGAACTCACAGTCTCCTGGTTTCTAGGCCAGAATCTTAACCACTGCGCCAAACTGGCTCTCATTTTTTGAACCAAAGTCTGAGAACCAATGCACAGCAAGGTGTAAATATATTAATTAGCTAAATAGTAGCGTTATATTTTTTCTCAAAATGTCTGCCTGCGAATGGCTTACAGAAGGTAGGAAAGCCAGTGGCCCTCAATTGCTAACATCCTTCCCTATTGACTATGGGAGGTATGAGAATAGAATAGTTCAGGAAAGCAAAACAGCCACAGATTTTTCATTATCCAGGGTAACTTTAAGTCATCCTCTGAATCATTCTTTCCACAGTGGTTGTGAAAGAGAACCTTTTCAATGGCATCCCCAAAGAAAAAGGCACTCAAGTTGCTATCTTTTGATACAGGATGATTTTTCTATTCTTCCAAAAATTTTAATACTTTACTTTAGGCGTGCCAAAAAAGGTATCCCAGAAACACGTAAATACACGAGACATCAAATTATATCCTTTCTACTTTTGCTACCACAACTTCTCATCTTTTTAAGGCTCTGCATTTTAGGAGTCTTAATATTTAAAGCTGTACAAAATATTTAACTTACAGATATTTTAAAATAGACTAGATCTGTCCTCCTAAAAACTTTAGACTAACACCTAATCTCAGTTTCTTAACTTCTTTTTTTTTAGAATAAATAAAAAGGTAAGAGTAATTAAAATAAATTATTTCATTAATCACAATTACAACAGAGGAATTATTCCTAAAAACAGGAGGAACAGAGATTTAAAAAAAACCCGATGAAGTTACAGAAATGGAATACATATTTGAAAGTCATCTTCACTAAGATCCATTATTGGTTTCCAGCTTAATACTGCATCTAGATTTAACTGTCTACTTTTTTTAATGAGCTTTAAAACAGATACTCGTTAAGATAACATAAATTGGAACGGATTCATCCAGTGAATTCTGTATAGCTGGTTTATTATTTCCTGTTCACTGTTACTCTCACTCTATTGTTTACTGCCTGAAATAAATATACAGACATGAATGGGCAATTTTTATCTCTCAAACGGGAATGTTAAAACTAAAATCAACAGTAAAGTCATTTTAATTATTTTTCAGTCCCGCTACTCTACTAGGTTTTCCAGTTAAAACATGATGTTAGATATCCAAGTCTAAGCCTATGTTTAAACAGTTTAAATCCCAAAGAACGAATGGAGCTCATCTCCTACATCAACATACTTATCTGAAGGCTTTCCAGGCTCCAAAACCGAGTTATATCTCCTCTAGCTACCATCCTGCTATCCAGAAAAAGATCATTCACCATGCACCTGGTTTACATTCAAATCAAGAATCCTTTTTAATCCGTAAATAAAATGTTTCATAGGCTACGGAAGCTGCAGCTACTGGAAATGCCGAAATAGCTTATTCATTCCTTTGAGTGTCTGTAGCTGCATTTCAGCCAAACTCTACTTTAAAATGACAGCTCACTCTCTGAATGTATAGCTGTGGGTTTAGTGCCTCCAGTGACATCATGGGAAAGCCTTAGGAAGTTATGAAAGAAAAAAAGAGATGTACAGACAAATAGTGCACATGCAGCATTCATCCATATCATTCAAGCCTGACCAATTCTTTCCTCATTGCAACCAATGCGCTGATTTATTATTATTATAATTAGTCAAACAGCCAGCCAAATGTTTACACTAAAAGGTAAACGTTCCCCTCGCATATATATGCTAGTCGTTCCCAACTCGAGGGGGCGGTGCTCATCTCCATTTCAAAGCCAAAAAGCCAGCGCTCTTCAAAGACATCTCTGTGGTCATGTGGCTGACATGACTAAATGGCGAAGGCACACGGAACGCTGTTACCTTCCCACCAAAGGTGGTTCCTATTTTTCTACTTGCATTTTTACATGCTTTCGAACTGCTAGGTTGGCAGAAGCTGGGACAAGTAACAGAAGTTCACTCCGTTATGCAGCGCTAGGGATTTGAACTGCTGAACTGCCAACCTTTCTGATTGACAAGCTCAGCATCTTAGCCACTGAGCCACCGTGTCCCTTGTGAAGTTTACACTAGATCTGGCATTTTCATTTATGTATCAAGTTCAAGGACCAGGGACAGCCAGGTGCTGTTTGAAAAGGTTACAAAATATTATCTATTCTAAGTAAAGCTGCCTTTTGCAATTGACTGAAGATTATTTTTGTCAATGCCGATAAGAGTTCAAGAGGTGCTCCAGATGTTTGGGGATTGCACCCAAGGGACCTATCACAATTATTATTATTTTCAAATACACTTTCACTGGGCCATCTTTAAAAAATAAAACCTTCACCCTCCTTCCTCCAATGTTAAAGAGCTACATTTGTCTCCACAGCATTTACATAATAATAATTCACTGGATGCAAAATGTGCCAACATTGCATTATTGGAGAATGCAAAATAGCCAATTCAGCTCTTTATTCCAGGATTTCAGCAGCTGTACTGGCCCACTACCTTACTATAGTAGTTGGGTAAATTAAATTCCATGGGCTAAGAGAGCTTCTACGTCAGTAGGATTAGTGGCACAAAGATTTATCAGCTGACTCACATTTCAAATCTATTTTAAGACAGGGGTATAAAAGAGCTAGTTCCTCAGCCCACACGACTTCTCTTTAGTCTTGCCAACAGCCTAATTCCATCAAATTGCCTTTAGGAACCCACAATTTTTGCTAGTTACTAGCAACAGAGAAATGGAGGAGGGAGCAATTCTCTCTTCCTGCTGAAAACTCAGCTTTGTT